TCCCTTCTGGCCATTACTGTGAACGCGATATACGGCGAGCACTACACCAAACACCTAACCATACGCTATGCCATCGCCGGTCCTCAACACACAATGGGACCAAACCTTCGCCACAACACCACTCACTCCACCACTCATTGGTCGGCCCTTTTCATAGCACAGTCAACACTACACGACGAGAGAGTCACTGCTAACGTTGCGACTGCACCAACACTACCAGTGCCTCAGAGCCCACACCACAACACATAGCACTCCAACCAATCGCTACGTCTCTCTCCGCACGACAATACACACCACTCAACGCCAGTCAACTGCACGCCAGTCAACGCCAGTCACTACGACGAGTCACTCCACTGCCTGTCGACCCACCGCTCACTCCCGACGACTCACCCATTGTCTCAATAAAGTGTATATAAAGCCATAGACCTAACGCACAGACCCTCACACACACGCCCTAACACTACACCCGCACACAGACCACAGCGTGTACTGTATTTGGCGACCATTTGTGGCCCCAAAACACTGCCATCACTGCCACCACACCCGCCGACTATACGCCTCAATACACGCATACAATTACATTGAATGCAACACTCATTGCAAACACTGCTTAGGGTTTAGCCATTGTTTCAATGGTTACGACCCGACACGACGTGTCAATCCATTTAAAGACCATTTATATGTCTTGTATTTATTGACAAACAATACATTGATTTCATTAATTAGTTAATAAACTAACTGTAAATCTAATGAAACACTATTTAGGTATGAATTAAGCGATGATTGGTTGAGCTAAGAGTTGTCATGTGTTTATCATTAGAGACTAAGTGTTAGCCATAAGTATAGCTATAATTTATGGTTAAATTATGTATTAATTGATGCAATGATTGAATAAATTGCTATTTAAATAGCATTTAGCGATTGAAAAGTGGCGCCAATTGAGTCAATGTGTATATTGTGGTCACTGGAGGGCACTCTCACTGCCATCCGCTCGACCTGTCCTTCAGTCGGCAATACTTCCCAATCGACGACATATTCCCTAAACTATGAGACAATTCATTCAAACACAAGTATTCATTGCTTTTAATTTACAATTTAATGCAAACATTGAAACTAATTGTCGAAAAAACAGTACAAATCAGTGATGAAAAGTGAGGAAATGATTGCAAGTGGAGAGAGAAAGCGAGAGAAAGCGAGAGAGAGAGAGAGAGAGAGAGCTGTTCAGTGGGAGTGAAGGGAGTATTGGTTTGGAATAAGTGGTGAATTGAACGAAACGTTTGAGTATTGATTGTGAGTTGAGTTTTAGTGAAGGAATGCGTTGTTATGACTGAACGCCTAAACCAGTGATCGAGTGATCCATTGCTCGACTCAGACATCGATTTGTGTCCTAATCTTTGAATCCAATCCATTGTCCAAACCATTCACACCATTGATACGAGACATGTCTTCCACTAATAAACACATCAACGATGAGTCAATTGGTGCCAAAAGTGATGCTCACGTCAGACAAGAATCTCGAGTCGATTCTCGTCGCGAAGAATACGAAGGAAAACAGGGAACAAGTGGTGAGTGGAAGAACTCCCACCACAAGAGTCAGATCCCGAGGTATACGCCATCGACTCGCGAACGAAGACATTCGGAGAACTCGTCGGCGGCGATGACGGGGAAGAGAGGCGAGTGGAACGGATCCGTCAATTGTCACAGCGGTTGTCACATCCATGGCATCCGTTCGCCAACTAATATGCTTTTCTATGAGATGTTGCAGACTATGAGTCTGACTGACCGACAAGTTCCCGATCAGATCCGTGCCATCCATAAGAACCACGTCTGCAGTAATGTCGGCAAAAGCCGTTCCGTTCCCACATCTAAGATGCCATCTTCTATGACCACTCCATTGTCCACTCCATCCACTCCTACGGACTCGCGAAGAATGCCTTTCCATCGAAATACGTCGAGTCAGACGTCCTCTCCTTCTCGAGAAACCAAGACTTCGTTCTCTACGACTCGACACACAAACCAAAGGTAAGTCTTGTTTTCATTTGGAATTAAATCAAATCTAGTTATGAATCATAACTTTTGTTAGCATATAATGAATGCATTTATTAATTGATATTTTGAATGACAGACCATTTGCCGAATACATGCCTTTATGTGAACTTCAAAAAGGGCTTCAAAAGGGAGATATCATTGAAGTAATTGTTGACTAATTGATGGATACATTGATAGTAATTGAAATTGTTTTGATTGTTAGGGAGTCTTACGTATAAACCCTCGCAATTATACGGACGCCTACATAAGCGCACCGGTAATCTTC